TATATATATATATATATATATGGCGTAGAAACACTCCCTACAACAAATCAACAAAAATCATATTAATTGTATTTAGCATGTGTTTTTATAACTATTGTAGCTCTTATATTAGGATTATTGCCATAAAAGCGCTCTTATTTATGTGAAACGTGTGGTTATGTTATAAGTCTAAATATGTGTTTATTAATGTCTCGCATTTAAGTAAGTTTTGTCATTTTGAGCTTTTTATCAGGTTGTGATGATGATGGTGGGTCGGAGATGAAGAATGCAGAAGGTGGGTTGGAGATGGTGCTGGTGGGGGTTATCGATGTCTTTCGATTGTGAAAGGATCTTCGGTAAGTGGTAGTTTTATGGTAAACATTTTATACCCAAGACCTAAAAATTTACAATGAAATAACATTCGGCCTAGAAATGCACTTCTTGCGACAAATCAACAAGATTCTTTTAAGTTATATAGGATATAGATGATATATTTATAATTGTAGTAATAATATTTATTAAAAAGAATCACAAAAATTCCAAAAATGATATAAATTATCGTGTTTTTTGAAAAGAAAAAACTTAAACGAGAACATATTACAATGAAAAGTTTGAAATAGAAACACCAGTCAAACCAATTGTAAATTACAAAACAACCTGATTTTGCGTAATCTGCTAGCGGGTAGCTCTTTAATTCTAGGTGTCAAAAGCTTAAAGCTAGTCTTCTTGTGCGAGCAAAAGGGCTATGATCTGGTTTTGGGTATTTTTAAACTAGAAGGTGATACATTCATGCTCTCTCATTCTTTACGTTCACTCTTGGAAAAATTTCAACCTCTTTTCTCCACCCACTTTCGTTTCAACGAACTTCTTGATTCTTGTTCGTCCCTTTCACAATTGAAACAAGTTCACGCTCTCATCCTCACTAATGGATCCCATAAAAGTCTCCCCGTATCCACCAAACTCATCAACAAGGCGGTTTCTTTATCGCCAACAATGGACTATGCCCGCCAGATGTTCGACGCAATGCCCCACCGAGACGTCTTCCTCTGGAACACTTTGATTCGGAGTTACTCCCATCTGGGGCCTTGTAAAGAAGCTATTTTTACATACAGAAACATGCATCGGAGTGGATTATCACCCGATACCTACACTTTCACTTCCGTGGTGAGATCTTGTGCCATGCTATCTGCTTTACAGGAAGGTAAACAAGTGCATTGTAACGTGATTAAAAACGGGTTCGATGTAGATGTGTACATTCAGAGCTCCTTGGTGACAATGTACGCCCAAAATGGGGAACCTTTAGATTCAGAACAAGCTTTTGACGACATAGTTGTAAGAAATGTCGTGACTTGGACTTCAATGGTTGCAGCTAACGTGCAAAATGGATATTTAATCAAGGGATTGAAGACTTTCATTGAAATGGTCACTTCTGGAACTAAACCAAACGCTATAACTCTTGTGAGTGTTCTTCCTGCTTGTGCAAGTTTACAGTTTTTGAACATGGGAATGTTGGTTCATGGGTTGGGAGTCAAACTCGGGGTTGACTTGTATATTTCTCTTACTAATTCTCTGATTGCATTATATGGTAAATGTGGTAATGTTAAGATAGCTAGAGCTTTATTTGATCAAATGGAAGCTCGAACACTGGTTTCATGGAATGCAATGATTGCTTCTTATGAACATAATAATTCCAATGAAGCAGCCATACAACTCTTCAATACAATGCAAGAAAAGAACATAAATTTTGACAATATCACAATGGTGAGTGTTATTTCAGCATGTGCGGGTCTTGGATCACTGGATATGGGTAAACGGGTACATGAGTTAGTGAAAAGAAACAGTTTGGATTCCAATGTTGCAATTACAAATGCTCTCATAGACATGTACTCAAAATGTGGGAGTTTGGATTTAGCTTCAAATGTGTTTTACAGTTTACCTCATAGAACTGTAGTCTCATGGACTTCAATTATTTCGGCTTATGCATCTCATGGATATGGAAAAGAAGCAATGTTTTTGTTCTCAAAGATGAAAGAGGAAGGAATTAGACCTAATAGTGTTACATTCATGGCTATCTTAACAGCTTGCAGACATTCAGGACTTATAGAAGAAGGAAAAAAGCATTTCAAAAGCATGTCAGAGGATTATTTTATCATTCCTGGAATAGATCATTGTGTTTCCATGGTTGATCTTCTTGGGAAAAATGGAGAACTTGTAGAAGCTTATGAATTCATTCAGAATATGCCAATTGAGCCAGATGTAGATGTTTGGGTAGCTTTACTTAGTGCGTGTAGAATCCATGGGAATCTAGAACTCGCTAATAGAATTTACCAAATTACCCCTCGAAATGTTGGTTGTGATGTCATTATGATTGATATGTACGCTGGAGCTGATATATGGGGACATGTTACAAGATTGAGAACATGTTTGGATGAGAAGAAGATGAAAAGAATATGTGGGCATACTTTATTAGCTGGTTTTTGATACAATAATGGAGAATATATTTATATATATATACATTTTTTTATGCCATGTAACAAAGTAAGTATGTTTTATCTCCTGATAATTGAGGGGTGGCTAAATCAACAATCTTGAATCCTATTTTTTTATAAAGTTCTTGTGCAGCTATGTTCTTCCTGTGTACATGCACATACACTTGTTCTACACCTGAAAAGAAAAAAAAAAAAAAAAAAATCTTGGTCAACAAGTCAAACCACTTTACAAAGTTTATGACTATGAAATATGAAGTGGTTAGTAGTTACAAATCTGACCATCTGACATGGCAGTGTTAATGGCAAAATGTAACATGTTTCTTGCAATGCCTTGTCTACGTGCTGACTTGGCGACACATAAGTTGGCTATATAACCGTATTGTTTTTTTGGCTCTTTTCTTTCTGTGTTGAAGAAGATAGTTGCTTTCACTTTTTCCTAAGTTTCAAGATTCCTGTTAGATTATCTACAGTTGGAATTCATGTTTATGAATCAAAATGGTATTTTACCAAATTACCCCTGGAAAGGTCTCTCCATGTAAGAAGGGTCGGATGCTGACATCAAGGGTTCCAACTACACTTTTCAGTACAGTATGTCTCTCATTCCCATGTTCTTTCTTTACCTTTTAGGAAAAATAATTTAAATCAATAATAATAATAATAATAATAATAATAATATATGGAATAAAATAAGATTGGGTGAAACGTTAAATTATACCGTTACAATGCAGGCACTTTTTTGTCCATGTTTTGTTTCACACTGTCGTTTTAGCGCATTAAACTCCTATTTAAATGTGAATGAAATATTGTTAATACTTATAATCGAGGGCAAAAATGTAATTAAGATGTTACCTGCTCTGTAAATTTCCTTCTGTAGCTATCAGCAAATCTGTGTTATTGAAAAGATTTTAGCATAAGTTGAATTCATATCTTTTATATATATATATATATATATATATATATATATATATATATATATATATATATATATATATA